TCTGTGTATACTACTAACACACATATCGACTGAAATTCCTGCCGCTTTGAATAGCTTGATGGGCTGTCAGTGAGGACTACAGTAATGGCAACAACAATTAGAATAGTAAATAATCTCTGAAGTGAAGGGAAACGATAATGTTCTAAATTCGCCAGTGCCTTACCAAATTTACACCTGCAGGCGTGACCGTGTCCTCTCAGGGGTCAGAGCGGGTGACAGATAAATGTCAGTAATTACTGGTTTCTGCAGCTCCCGGGGACCCTTGTCAAGGAGCACAGTTCCACAGTGCCGGCTGCTGCACAGACACAAAACAGAGAGAAAACCGCAGCCTTTCACCCTTTCCCTTCCGCTGAAGGGTAGGTTCAGCCACAGCAAGGGGTGCAGGCAGAGGACAGGAGGACAAGCAGGACCATATCTGCCAAAGCCAAGTGGTGGTCCAAGCTCAGCAGCCGGGCAGGGGGCAGCGCCAGTGGTTTGCAGAGCTCCAGACAGGGCATCCTGCACGGGGTGACAGATGAAAATCTGAAAATCCAGCAAGAAAACTGAGGGAGCCGGCTGGTACCCGCAATCAAGGGCGGACAACGGGCTGGAGGCACAGCCCGGGAGGGGAAACCGACATCTGTCGTCTGCTGCGGCAGCCCATGGGCAAGGGGAGGGCTGCCCAGAGGAGCGAGGACGGTGAGAGGGACCACTGTCCTTCTGCAGTGTCCTGCATGGGGGGGCATGGGGTGAGGCTGTGTGCGGTAGGGACTGAGATGTGGAGAAGGCTGGGCACCGAGGGGAAGGGCTGCAGGCAGTCTGCAAAGCCGATGCAGAGATGGAGAAGGACCCACATGGAAGTAGAGACCGGGTCTTGAGTGCCAGGGCAGGACTCAGATGTCGCTTACAGCAGCTGAGAGAGGAGGCTGCAGCAATGTCATGGGAGGGATGTAGCCCTGGTGCAATAAATGATGTTACTGTTGACTTTCCAGGGGAGGAGTATGGGGGAAATAAAGCAGTAAAGACGACTGAACCAGCACTGCAAAGTGCTCGTCTCTGCTCTGGTGCATCTTCAAGGAGGAGAAAAGAAATTAAATCTTCACACCAAGACACCAGGGTGTTCGTTTTCATTGCCCTGCGAAACCCAGTTCTGCATTACCTTTGAATTGTTTAGGAAAAAGGGGCCCCTCAAGCAGGCAGGGTGCCAGCTTGGAGCAAACATGTCCCCAGGGAACAGCCATGCCATGGCTTCCCTGCTGATGGGCATTCCCGGGACGGCTCGTTTCCACCGCTAGGTAAAGCACTGATGACCATTCAGTTCCCAGTCTGACTTGGAATATGTAGGGTTATTTTTTGTTATTGTTATTATTATTGTTTGTTATTTTTCTGTAATTCCCCTTGGGTATTCATGTGTCCATTTAGGCTTCCTTGGCTGTTCTCAGTAATCACAGCTTTATGTAAGGGAAAAAAGGAGACAGGATTTATTTCGGCCCTTCTGAGACCCTCCTGGAGTGGTGGATGCTGCTGCTCCTGCGAGGAAGGAGCTGGCCTTCCATGCACAGACAGACCTTCTGCACCGATGATTTTGGCTTAAGTCCATAGCACTGCTTTGCCCCTCTGCTTTCTAAGCTCACGCCAAAGCAATCCTATTCAAATTAATGGAAATCAGCGCAGAAGGAGGTATGGGAAGCAGGCAGGATATTCCAACCCCACCCCAGCTGTCTGCTGTAGGGTGATCTGAGGCACTCTTCTCCAGGCTCTGTCTCGACCTCTTCCTGCGCAGTAGGAGTTAAGTGCCCAGTGTGCACGGAGGCACCTCGTTTCAGGAGTGCCCGGTGGGAGCTGGACCTCCTGTGGCTGTAACACACACGGGATGGTGCAGCTGCAGTGCAGTGCCTGCGCTGGACCCCCTCACACCAGATGGGGGTCTGACCTGAACCCCTTTTGGGTGTAATTCTGCTCCCACTACAACCTGATGGTGCCGTGAGACCAGTGCTGCCGCAGTGATACTGCACCGTTTCCATCGGGGGTCTCATTGGGGCATTACGTGGTGGGTCCAGGCAGAGCAGATGAACCGTCCCAGCTGCTGTCAGTCCGCAGCACCCCGGAGTGGGCTGGTTACAGTCCCTGGGAAGGGAAACGTACGGTGACTTTCAGCTCCAGCAGCATGAACCACAGCTTTTGGACATGCCTGGTTCCTGCTGGAAATGTCACCTGGCTGGAAGGAGAGGGCTTTGCCATACGCCCAGGTCCTTGACACTTCAGTCTTAGCAAGTCTGGCTGCAGGTGTAAAAAGCTTGAACAAACTGCTGTTGCAGATATGTAGGTCTATGCTGATGCACTAGAGGCTAGAAGGCTGAGCACGTCTAGGAAGCGTTAGATTTTCCCTGCGTGTGCTTCAGGACACCAGCAGGCACATGCCCAGGCCGCGCTGGACAGGAGGATCAACTCCCTCGTTCTGGCAGGAGCTCTGGGTCCACCTGACCCAGTGCCTTGGTGAAGGTGGGAACCCTTACCCCCCACCTTCACTGCTGTGCTCTCCTTGTCTAAAAAGAAGAGCCATTAGCTTTGGAAGCTCAGGCAGTTACAGCTCCTGCATGATTGACCAGGCAGGTATAGAAGACTGCAGATACTGCAACACTCCTTTATAAAGCAAAGAAAATGCTGTCTGCAGAGAAACAGGATGTACTTCATCTGCTGCACTGAAAGAGCTTAAGGGTTCAGGATCCTCAGCAGTCAAATGGATGACAGGATGGAGTAGAGAGTATCTAAATTGTTATTTACCACCTGTTCCCCCATATACAAAACCTCTTGGGTCTTCTGTGTCCTACATCAACACCTTCTTGCATTGAGAAGTTTGTGTATCCCTTTGTGGATCTGTTTCGTTTCTACACTGTAAATAATGGGGTTTAGCACAGGGGCTACGAGGACATAGGTATTGGCCATGAGGACATGAATCAGAGGAGAAGCGTGTTTACCAAACCTGTACACCATGGACAAGCCAATCATCAGGGTATAATAAACCGAAACAGCACAGCCATGAGAGACGCAGGTGTTCAGGGCCTTGAGACGCTTGGATGTGATACTCAGCACAGTCCTCATGATCACCAGGTAGGACAGGATGATAGTGAGTCTTGCCCAAAGGTGGCCAGGATGACAAATAAGCAACACGTGAAATTCACTTTGACATCTGCACAGGGCAGCTGGGGTAAGTTGGGGTGGACCCAGAAGGAGTGAGCCACCACGAGGGACCTGCAGAATGACAACTTCTTCAGAAGTATCGGCAAGGGGAGCAAGAGGCTAATGCTCCTCAACATGAGCCCCAGCCCAATGATGCATACCCTGGGGGTGGTTAGGACAGATGTGTACTGCAAGGAGCTGTAGACGGCCATGAAGCAGTCAAAGGCCATGGCCCACCGCACCCCGGAGTCCAGGATGGAGAAGCAGTGAATGAAGAACATCGAGGCGAGGCAGGCATCAAACCTGACCTCCCGTGAATCAAAGAGAAGCACGCTCAGCACTGTGGGGAGCGTAGACAGAGACACACCAAGCTCCGTGATAGCCAGCAGGCACAGGCAGAGGCACATGGGCTCGTGTAGGCTCCACTCTGCCTTGATGACCAAGAGGATTGCAGTGTTTCCCAGGATGGAAATAACATACGTGCAGCAGAAAGGGACGACAAGCCACATGTTCCCACTTTCCATTCCTGTGATTCCTGTTAGAAGGAAGGCAGAATGTCCGAGGAAGCTGCTGTTGGTCATTTTCCTATTGAAACATCTTCATCCTTGTCAAAGATCAAGCATCAGATCCCACTCATGCTACAAAAGAATTCACAGAAATCATAAAAGAGTAATCATGCCATAAGGCAAAGTTTTCTTCATGTCTCTCTCACTGCAGTGATGGGGATGCAGAATTCTGAGTTTGCTCAGACAGCAAGAGGACGATTTACCTTTGTGATCAGTTCTTGGCATGGAGAACCACAGCTCCCAAAAGTCAGAAAGCTTTGGAGATGGAGGAGACGGAGGGACACAGTACCTAGTTGATGGTTGAATTGTGGGCTTCTCTATGCCAGGAGACAGAGAGCTGTTTACCAGATTGACAGGTGTGGTACTGTATTGACTGTTGCGCCAGAGCGCGGTAAGGCTTGAAGGGTGGCATCCTGGATGAAGGGTGAATGCAGGCTTGTATCTCATGCAGAAAGCCTACCATGGAACTTGGGAGTCATGGAGGGGGTTCACCGGTCCTTGCTCTGGCTTTTCCTTGTCCTTCTGCAGAAAAGCAAGAGAAGGAGCACCCTGCAGATATCTAGACGTGCTCTGACATTGCCAGGTGACTCCTCCACCCGGATATCCGAGTGCGGTTTCTAGCGCTTTATGAATGAGATTCCCATATCGCGGCCGTGTGGATGTCACAGAGCACCTCTTCTCTGCTGGCTGTCAGCTTCATCCTCAACTTAGATTTTTATTTTTTTTTTAATTCTTTGCATCATCATTTTCTTTCTTTCTGTGACTCAGTATCAGACTTGGTGATCTTTCTCTTCCCTAAAAATAACCTTGGCAGCAAAGACCCGGTATAAGTGCCTTTGCACCAAGTGTTTTCTGCGTCTTCGAGAGCAGTGCACAGCTGAGGACCCAGAGAGTGCAGCAACATCTTGCGGGATGCAGCCAACGAGCATTCACCACCGTGCTGCCAAAAAGCAGCATTGTGAACATCTGCTAGCCCAGGAATGAACGATTTTGGACTCGGATAGTCTCATATGTACGAGTGCAAGTGCTGTTTTCCAGTATAAATGAAGCAAACAGTAACCAAATCACCCTCTCACAGGGAGGAGAGCTCTGGCAACTCACTGTGCTTTACAGGAATCACTCTGCGTGCGGAGGAGAGATTTCGGTTCTACTTACCCACCTTGCCAAGCTGTAACACAGGCAAGGATTGTCATTCCTTGCAGGTCACTGTCCCCTCACCTGGGTGCTGTGTAGGTATCAGCGTCTCAGCTGGGTCTGTGGACCCCACCAGTTGCTCTGGGGAACAGGCACTGCCAGAAGATAGGTTGTCTCACCCTGATGTCTGCCCCAGTCAGATAAAGGGTGTGTACAGACCTCATTGGCACGAACAGCATCTGAGGGTAACGTTCATTACATGTGCATCCTCCCTTTAATAATCACTTTAATACTAATGCTACAGTACTACTGACAAAGTTATCGGAAATTATCGAACAGCTGACATGTGAAAAGCAGCCCAGAAAAAAAAGCACATCACTTTGCCTTAAATACGGAGCAATACCCAAATATGAGCTGCCTGAGCATCTTGCCTCCAGGCTGCCAGCGAACTCACCTTTGTATTGCCGCTCCACGGAATCCCCCAGGATGCCCGGGCTCACTGGGGACTTCTTTTTTTTTTTTTTTTTTGTGTGGATCCATTGTCTCAAAGTAAAGGATGCAAACGTACAGCTAACAGTGAATCCCAGTGTCAAGTGGTGGGCTACTGTGGAACTGCCTTTGGTCAGCACCGGGAGCTAAGTAGGACTAGAAACTAAGTGTGAAGTCAAAGCAGGACTTGAATGTGGTGTTGGCTTCTGGCTTCAATGAGGAGACATCAGAAAGGAGCAAACTTTCCCTCTGCAGGGGTCAGAAGGAGAGATGTGAACCTAACGAGAGGAGCGAGCGAATGTGGCAAGATCTCCCTTTTTTGGCAGCTGTGGCCTCAGGCACCACTGTCAGGAGATGACACCCCTGAAATCACTGGGCTACCCTTCAAAATGTTCGGGTTTGGCCTTTTTCAGCATTGGGACAATTTTTTGCCTTCGGATTTCAAAGCACCACCCCAAAATTGTTCACCCGCCCCATGAAAGTGTGCTTGGGTCTCTGGTTTGGGCACAGACCTCCTCGGCTCTCCCACCGCTTTCTGCAGGCAGCTCACACGCAGCGTTAGCATTGGCTGGAGGGCACTGCTGACCCCCTCTCACCCCAGTGACCCCCTCATCCATACTGTGCAATGATACAGACATCACAGAGAAGGGAATCCTAGAGCGGGATCCTAAGCTGTTGGTGCTGAGTATCTGATCTTACGTGGCCATGAAGGCTTGTAGGCACACATCTCACAGGTCACAAGGGGCTGTATGAGTCTCACCTCTGCACGTCTGACCAGCAATGATCCCCTGCTGTCATTTCTTACTTAAAAAAGACATCTCTTAGAAGACCTCTCCCATTGCCACTGCAGGAGGCAGTGTGGTGGAAAGGATGGACGTTGGTCATGAGGGCAGCTCCCACGTTCTTAACGAAAAACAACAACATTTTTTGTGGACCCTGAAGAAAAATGGGGGTTCTGCCTCACCAGAATGGTGGCAGGTGAGCATCAGTCCACAAGATATGGTGCAGCCCTGCTTTGTGAAGTGAGAGAGAACTCTGAGACCGGCTCTTAGATGAACTGCAACCGTCTCTCTCCTCCCTTGGCTTCCCCTGCCTCTCGCCTGGGGTCTGTGAAATGCTACTTCTGTTTTATGTGAAGAAAAAGGATGAATAGAGTTTAAATTTAAATAGTCTACCAGAACGGTGCCAAAAATATTCATTTCCCATTTTGTCTGCAGCTTAACATCTGCCTCGCTTCAGCAGCAGTGCATGTTCGTCTCCCTGTCCCCCCTCCTGCTTCCCCACTGGTATCCAGCTCTCGCAGAGACAGCAGAGCCCGGAGCCTCCTCGTGGGCGGCTGCGATAGTCAGAGCTGCTCAGGAAGACAGAGAGCTCCACGAAATGCCAGGCCAGGTTAGAGATCTCCTCTCCATCCATTAGTGCTCTTCAGTTTGCACTAAAAATAGAGGAAAGGTCTGTAACGTGTTTGAGTTTTGTAACTTGAATTCGGGTCGTCTGACCTTCACCTCATTCTGCTTCCTGCCTTTTTCAGATATAGAGCAGTGATTTTGTAAAACATGTTTGCCCGTTTATTTGGATAGTTGACTTATTTTAGTATAGTGCAATCCTGTTAGCAACGATCTCCCTGTGATAGGTCACTCCAACTAATTGCATCAGTGAGGATTTCTGATATTTTTGAAAGGGTTTATGTTTACATAAGACTTTTGGAATTGCTAGCATAGGATTATTGTAGGTTTTGCCTTCTTTAAAAAAAAAAAAAAGAAGAAAAATAATGCTTAAAATGGAATTCTACCTATTTCCTTCTACAAGGACGGTCACCATTCCCATCCAAGCACCTTCCCGTCACACAGTCCAGGGACCACTCTTCATATAATGAGAGCCGCTGCAGGAAGGTCTTTTGGAGCTACTCCGCCTTGCAGTATAAATATTTTAATCATGAGAGGATATTTTTTTTAATAGTGAAAGAACTTTAACAGTGAGGAATCTAACCTCTCCATCTCCCCCTGGTGTAGAAGCCAGACTGAATGTCTTTATGCCAAGTTTCACCACGCAATGGATGAAACCTTCTGGACAGTGATAACAGAAAAGACGCTGTAGTGATTTCTGCAAGAATGCATTGCTTAAACTCCAGGCGTTGAGGAAGGGTTCCTGCCTGAACAGATAGTCACAGCATTAACTCTTGTTAAATTTGCCAGCATTATTGGGGGGTCCACAGGAGAGCTGGGGAGGGACTCTGGGTCAGGGAGGGGAGCCGTGGGACGAGGGGAACGGTTTTACACTGAAAGAGGAGAGATTTAGGTAACATATTAGGAAGAAATTCTCTCCTGTGCGGGCGGTGATCCCCTGGGGCAGGTTGCCCCGAGAAGCTGTGGCTGCCCCATCCCTGGAGGTGTTCAAGGCCAGGTTGGACGGGGCTTGGAGCAACCTGGGCTGGGGGGAGGTGGCCCTGCCCAGGGCAGGGGGGTTGGAACTCGATGATCTTTAAGATCCCCGCCAACTCTAACCGTTCTGTGATTCTATCAGTTAATTATGAGCACAGTTTGAGGCTCATACATATGGATCAGTTTCCCTTCTGCTGGAAGAGGAGGACCACCCTGTCCAAAAGCTTCTTGGTTCTCACCCCATAAACAATGGGGTTTAACATGGGGGGCACCAGCAGGTAGAGATTTGCCACCATTATATGAACTCTGTCCCATGTAGTGGAGTGGTCTTGGAGCAGGCAGACTGGATTCCTCCTGGATCTGAAATAAACCTTCTTGAAATGTGCCTAGTGGGATATGAGGTCATTAGCACCATCCCTGCAGCTCTACAGAAGCTTTTAGCAGCACTGCGCTGCTTGACAGTGTAGACAGAGGCAACAAGAGCTTGCCTCAGCTAAAAAACATCCAATTTCAGGGCAAAAATCTGTGACAGTGCCACAGTATTTGACACACACACACACCCCAAACACAGTGCTGCAGTGATGTCCATTCTCCCCCCAAAACAGACTGCAGCTTGCTCAGCCCCTGCGCGTTGCTCAGCTCCTGTTTTTTCCCTAATACCTGGGCAAAAGGATTCCTTGAAAAGCCCTGCAGCACAGATTGGGCCAACGTTCCTGACCGGAGAAGACCCTTCAGAGACCTTCCTGTGTCTGACCGCACTTGTGCTGGAGAGCTGCGGGGAGCGGAGGGACGGAGGAGGCAACAGCAGCTCCCCAGAGGGAGATGGGCTTCCCCTCCCCGCGGGTCCGGTGCCAGCCGAGCCGAGCCATCTCCATCAGTGGGCTCTGCTCCTGCTGCATCCGCAGCCACATTTCTCACCCCGAGCACCGCACCCCAGCCCAGCACGGCCACCAGTCACCAGCTGGAGCAGGGCCGTCGGGGCTGTGCTTGAAACCTTACAAATACGTATGG